TCTAAAAATAGAATTATTGTCCCATATCATGGGGACAACCCCAATACTAGAAATGGCGCGCGCTTACGGTCTCCGTCCCCGATTATGGCTCCTGGTCTTCAGGAATATCGATTGTTATCGATTTTTAAAAAAAGATCGACAATAACCGCCCAGACTATTCAAAGATGGCTTTGTTATTGTGTAACAACACGAGACGTTCATCTTCAGCATGCTACTGGTGTAGATTACATTTTCCTTTTGGCCTTCTCCGAGTTGTTTCCTTATGCAAATAATTGAAATCACAAGAATGGCTCACCGAAAGTTGTGGTACTTACCTAAAAGATCTTCTGCCAAGTAATTCGTTTACTCAGCCCAAAATGAGATTTTCCATTGCTCTGAATATTTCCTTTTTATCACATTCTCTCTCCACAGATTGAAGGCGAATTGGAGCCCATAGGTACGAGATTTGTGATCAGTCTTCTTTTTCGATGTAAATTATTTTAAAATTCATAAACACTTTTACATAAGAGTGGTTAATCATTTCATCTACAAATATAATTTTCTGCGCGGAGCTTCGGGGGTTATACCAACGCTAAAACCTTTTCAAGTGAAACATGACGTATGTTGTTCTTGAAGCAAACCTAATCGACACTGATGTACATGGAGTTTTATTTGCGAATACAAAGTCCGTGCTGCCATCATCCCAGCAGACACACGCTATAACAGCCAATTCATATCAATCAGTCATTTCCGTTTTCCATTTTTACTTCTAAACATGTAATGAACATTGCAGTTGAGTCACACATGTATAGAGCTTGAAAAAGTGGACAATTAACTTTTTCCATTCACAGGTCGGGGTAGTCCGTCTGCGACTGCGCGGTGCCATTGCTACCCACCACCCGAAAATCCTCGGGAATGCACCTTTGATCCGTGCAACGTTAGTTTTTGTCCGGTTGGTCAAAAATGCAGACCCTGTCCATGCAATTGCAAAATTGGTGAATGTGTGGCTATATAACTTATCATTGGCCATTGGAGATGGACCATCAGAAGTCTCTTTACCGTTAATACAACTAAAACCCAGAGATAGAGATGACTGTAACGATAAGTGCAAATATATCTCTTGAATAAAGTTAGCAGTGTTCTTAGCCCGACACATCATAGTCGACTGATTTACTGAATTCTGAAGCGAATCACTTCAAATACGGGTTTAAATCAAGGTGGTAACACTTCAACCATACGATGAACTGCCGACCCCTTTCAGGAGGGGGACACGGGCTGGAGGAGGGGGCGCTTAGCAGAGAGGAAGGACATAATAGAAAGAGGGAGCGGAGCTATTTAAATATGGCCAAATCCTTGCGGGCTGTAGCTATTTAACAACCAATTTACTAAGTGACCCGGCTACGATTCTTGTTTCGTACATAGTGTTTTTCACTCAAGGACGGATCTCAGAGCTCGCAGGTATAGTATATTGAATTCGATTCCGTATTGCATGGTACGATAAAAGTGCACGGGTATTGCAGTCCATTATTTCAAGACTCGCACATTTTCTTTCGTTATTGATCGAGCTCTATTTTACTTACAATTCGGGTGAATATTACAGTTATTGAAAATCAGGGGAGCTCAGGACTTGAGGCAGCTGGGAAAAGCAGCTAGGACCGAGGTAGTATGCTCCATTGATCCCTTGAATATTTCAAAATTTTTCCCTTGTTCCTGATCAAATATGTTTTCCGATTGGAGGAGAACGTGTGACGTGTCGTGGGTCAAACTCACTAACTCCTTAGGGAAACAACAACTTGAACTTTTGACTTGCACGTGATCAGGTAGTGCTCCTTGAAACCGCGGCAAATTTGTGAGCCTGCTGGCGTCAAGCAAACGATTTCTTCACATTTGTTTTTCTTTTTGAGTTGGGAGGTATAACAAAACACTTAATGACTGATCCCGTGGGAAACAGTGAGTTTTGTTTCTCCTCGATCTCAAGGTTCCCCTCGGCTTCGCTTCGGGGAACTTTAAGGGTAGGCTCGATTTCCGCCGCTTTCTCGAGTCCGGTCTACGTTCCTCGGGGGAGGAGCGCGGGCTCCTTTCCCGAACAGCGGCTGGTAATCGAGCCTACTTTGCAGGTCTCGGGGAAACAAATCTCACTGTTTCCCTCGGGGCCAGTCATCAAGTGCTTATTGTTCCCAAATTCCCATTGTTTCCGTATTTTTTGACAAACTTCCCTTTAATAGTAGAGTTATCTCTTGCTTTCTCAAATTAAAAGTATCCTAAATGTATCCCTTGTTCCCTTAAAATAAATCGGACAGGTATTTATAAAGATAAATCCTAAAACAAGGGATTTATCGGTGTAAACCCTCATTGATATTCTACATATTCTACATTCCAGCTGATTCATGGTCATCCCGACAAAATCAAGTCCTTGCTTTTGAAAGAATTCCAACAATAAAATAAACCGCTCGATACAAGACCTGTCAAGAAAGAAAATTAAATTTCGGCCGCGTTGTTCTCAAAAATTTATTTGTCGCCAATCCCTCTACTGATGTGTTTCGTTTTATATTGCTGTTTTCAATCGACAATTAGCACTTCGTATTCTCGAAAACGTTTAGGTCACTTTCTACATTTTGAAATTCAGCTTGATAGTGAGGCCTGGAGGACACAAACAAAAGAAATGAACAAACATGGCATTCAATTCCCTTTGTTTCTGTCCACTAAGCCTCACTGCCAAGTTGAATTTTAATATATCGAAAACAGTCTATACTATTAACACCAGCTTGAGCTGCAGTTTGACCTTATTGCTGTTGTTGCCTTACCTCTACTTAAGGCGGGGGTTAACATGAAAGCCGTATTTTGGCTGGGTATTATGGTTTTAACGCAAATATCTCGTTCACGTTTCAAGCAGTCAAACATCTCTCTGCTCATCCCACATATCTACGTTTTTGGGCTGTTTTGTAAATTTTTTGGTGATTTTTGGGTACATTTATGGGGATAAATAGTTTTTCTTAAAGGATTAGTAAAATTTATGGAAATAGGAAATTTTGAAGATATGAAGTTGTTTTAAAATTAGAATTTGAAGTTAAAAACTTGGTGGATGTACAGTTGTCTACCAACCTGGGGTGCCCTTTTGGGGGGCGTATAACTGTCTGGTGGTGTTCCAAAACATTTTTTTTCCTTTTAATCCCTCTTTAAACTTCCGAAAATTTCACTTAATTATTGTCTGAGAAAAAAAGCTTGTGATAATAATAAATTTCTTGCTCCAAAAAGGGGTGGGGCTTATCAATGATTCACAGTTTCCCGTTTCTCTATGAAACCTAGCTTGGGCGCTTTCCTTTCGACCTAAGATTCCGGTTTGAATTTCCAGAAATTTTTGTTGGCGAATGAAACAGCGTTCCCAAAGCGGTCGACTATCTCATACCCAGAATTTCCGTTCTTCCTTATTTTCTTCCGGAATTTCCGGAATTATCGGCTGAATGGCCTTAACAAGATCTGAATTTTCTGAAAACTTTCCTGAAATTTTGGAGCACTTCAAGCCATTATATGAAATATAAATTTTAATTTTCGTGAAAATTTAGTTAAACTAAGGGAACAAACCTTCACATTATCTACCCGTTTATGACACTTTTTAACATTAATTCATTCATTTCTATTGAAGACTGCCAAAAATGTATTTTTTTTCACCTATATTTCAAGTGGCGATCGATGTCGCGATTTGCTATTTTGTATTGCTATTTTGCATTGCTATTTTCATACGTGTACCACAAAATAATGCTTCACTAAGAGAAAAACATGATAAAACTAAAGCACTACAAAAAGAAAATGGTATGGTTATAGTAACTGAGATGGCCCGGGCAATCTTGAGAAAAGTTTCAGGTGAGTCTTGTACGATGCGCCATCCCAAGGCATCTCGTTTAAGCGATTTCTAAATTAATCTTTACACAGACCACCAAGTTGCCATTTTGGTCCTTGATGTAGGCTTCCATCGCGTACTCTCCACGCGGTATGTAAAATGCATGAAGTTTCACAGAGAACACCAACTCCGCTTCGACGCCAGCCTTCAGAGGACAGCTCAGCCCGTAGCCTTGGCAAACATCGTGGTTTATCGGCAAAGGAATCTTCGCACCACCCATCATTCCGTTGGCATAAATTTTTGCGGATGTTATCAATTCGCGCGGAATGAACTTCATTGTAAATGTCTCCTGTTTTCCTCGTCTGAAAACACAAGGATCTTGATCGCAGGGAGTTATATCCACGGAGCTGATTTCTGCACGCGTTTGCGAACCGCAGCTCTGGTATCTGATTCTCTTTGATGAAACTGCGCCAATGGTCAACAACATTACGGCAAAGAAAATGTTGGCATTCATAGTGATTGAGGCAGGTTTTTAGTCTCAACCGTCTGGTCGTCTCTCTGAAGCTTACTTCAGCAGCTGAACGAAAAATGCTTTGCCTAGCTGAATTTAATGGAAACTTTGAGGTTCGGTTCGGAAGTAGAAAAACTCGAAAGGAGATTACAAAACTATCACGTGGCATTCTCGACCAATAACTAGCAATCCAATGTGAAAAATGGTTCGACCTGTTTTGGTTTGGAGTCAATACTTCAAGATCGAAACATCAGAGACCTTTCGAACTGATGTTAAACTCTTGAATTGATGATGGAAAAGAAATTTGGTGAAAAAGTATTAGGTGGAATGAAAATTAGGGCTGAAACTTTTATATTACAAATACTGGTGTACTGATAAAATAGGTGCATGGCTTTAAATAGCGATGCCACGGCAAACAACCCAACTAAAAATTTCACGATGATAGTTGTAAGTAATTAATTATGCATTACTATCACAGAGCAGACCGATCGTTATCATAAATTTAATATTTCTTTGTTTACATACTTGAAGCGCAGCCAAAGCGAGCATTTTAACTACTTCCTTACGGAAAAGTCGATCATAAATCTGATAAATTATTGCTCCCTTATTTGGCAACGAAAGATAGACTGCTTTCAGCGCTTTGAGATATCTGCCGTTTGAATTACGAAACTGGAAACGTGTATTGTCTTGGCAGTGCCAACAACAGGCGAAACTGGAAAAATTAAAGGCTTGTTTTGAATTTAACAAGCCCGATTTGTAACTGGAAGTAACTGGAGTTGGTTTAGAGGGGAAAATACCATTCACTTTTAATAAATATTTGGACGACAAACGCGTCCACGCATCCCTGCCTGCTTTATCGGAAATTGTTTTCGTTTTCGTCTACTTGTGATCTTTAGTCTTTTCTAGGAATATTTTACAGATTCCGAAAAACTGTTGTAAGGCATACTATAGTTGCAGATTTATTTTGAAGACTTTCCATAATGACTATTAACCGAACTACACGCACCGACGAGAAAAATGGAAATTTTATCTGTGTCACATCCTAGACAGAAAACATATTTGTAATTTATTTAAGTCAACCATCGGAGAAGAGGGAAAATTATTTAATTTCCATATTGACCCGCAATGCGGGCTGTAAATGATCAATTGAAACAATACCCTTGGACAAGAGAATCTCTTGCCTTGGAATAACTCTCATAGAACAAGCCTCGATCCATTCCGCCTGAGCCCAAAGAAAATACTTTTTAATCGGACGTCTATTAGACTCGCCAACTATCAAAGGCGTGAGCCTTTAAGGTGCGTTCCTTTGAAGTGATCTGGATCAGGATCAGTGATCCAAGATCACTCGCATCATGGTGCATCAAAGGAACCGATGAATCCGTGACCAGAGCAGATTCATCGGTTCGAAGTTTGATGTACCATGATCCGAGTGATCTTGGAGCGCTGATCTTGATCCCGACCACACAAACTTTATTGTTTTCGCACAAGCCATCGATCAATGGAAACGAAACAATATTTCAGAATTGAAACTGCACGAAAATTAAATGTTAAAGATTTACCAAGATTTGTCGTATATTGTCATATATCGATCGTTAGACGGGCGCTACATATAGCCAATCAGATTGCACGATTACTTGATATTCACTTCTGAGTGGGTTAAGCTTATCGCTGACAGAACACCGCGACGGTGCGATCATTGCGATCCCGTGGCTTGCTAATGGAAAATTATCCGCCACGATGTTTTTGTTTTTGTTTTTTTTTTTTTGTTCCATTTCCTCCTAGACGAAACGCGATATCATTTTGGCTTCAGGAGTAAACTATTAACACAGCACTTGGTGAAACCAGCTTAGAAGACACGACACAAGAGCAAATTGAAATACCCGGAGACTCCCATCAGGGAAAGGTCAGGGAAGCTTGTCGGAAAATTTTAATTGGATATCTTTAGTGTGTGTACTGAAACATTTGAACTACTCGCTTTCGTTTTCCTTGGATAAAGATCGTATATCAGTTGCGTTAGTTGTCCAGAGGTTACCACCACAGTGACTGCGCATGGGGAGAAAAATGTAAAACAGAACATGACGTAATAAAAGAACTAAGCAGGTCTTCATAAGTAGAAGTTTAAATTGACAAAACAATTTAGACTAATCTCCTGAGTCGGATACGTGGACAGATTATTGAGTGCCAAGCACCAATGAACACTTTCGATTTTGTTTTCCTTCGGGCTAAATTTAAAATCGCAAAACGGCTTTTTTCCCCACCCAGATAACTTATCAGAATCGTACAGATCCGAGACAACAATGCCAGTTGTTAGTGCTAAACTGGTTGCTTATGTCGACATCTGAAGCGACGCTCATACAAAATCATTCTTCGACGCCGGCGATTTCCCTCATTTGCAAATTAATGTTGTCAGCGACAAAGCGTACACCAAGGAAAATTGAAATCGACAGCAATACCCCCACAGCTAACGAAC